GAAAAAACCCATACCGCCCATGTGCGGAACTTGAGGAGTTTGCTCAGGGTGGAATACGTATGGGGGAGGAAAAGGCTGGTGCGGAGGCTGGAATCCGGCACGCATGAACCGTTCCATCTCCTCCAGCCGGGCTTTTGTTTCTTCCTCTCTTTTCCGCTGCTCCTCCCATCGCCGTTCGTGCTCCTCCAGTTCACGCTGCATTTGGGCCATACGAGAGTCTTCTCCCCGCCTTGACCGAGAAGAGGAAGCGCTGGAGCTTCGATCATACAAAATCCGTTGCCCCTCAGCCCCCAAGCACGGTACCCGACCCTTGTAAACCCCGGACGCCTCAATGGCCGCCTCATCATCCGCATCGGAATCGAGCTCGTCCTCCTGGGTCAAGCCTCGCTCCGCACGCTGCCTTTCAACAGATTCGTTGTACTTCAACTGCATTTAAAAATAAATAAATATTACATACTTAGATTTGAAATGTTACTATATAACAAAATATGATGTTATATACTTCGAAGTCAGCGAGGCGGGGTGGCAGATTGGCTTCAGACTCCTCGCCGTGCTTTGTCCAGCAATGCTTGACGAGGTTGAGAATACTAACCTTCTTCTTCTCAGGACCAGCCTACATGGTGTGAAAAAGGCTTAAGAAAATTTTGTATAATCAAGGGCCGGGGCCATAATGGTGTAAGGTTTTTTGAATAACACTTACAAGAGTTTCTTTATGGGCATTCTGGGATTTGCGACCCCCGTGCCACTGCGTCTCCAAGGCCTTCTCGGACATCCGGTTTTTCTTACCGGATTCACTTCTGGCCAAGAATTTCGGATCCGAAGACCAGTGGCGACAAAGGTTGGTCCACACTTCATCCGAAACCCATTTAGGCTTTCTCCCACGGTTTCGGGCACGCTTAAAAGTGGGCCGAAGCCAGGTTGAAATCCTAGCATTGTAGGCTCTAAGAATATCAGCACCGTTTGCGTGAGTCCAGCGATAGCGAGCCTTTATTAAAAAAATTGGATTAATTAATCATTTGTTATATATTAGACTACTACACTTTATTCATTTATTTTTACATTAAATAGGTTCCACCATAGTTCGCGGACCTTGGGATCAACATCGGAGTAGGAGGCCCAATTGCCAAGAAAGTGTCCTCCTATTATGTTTTTTATGCCTTCAAACACTGCTTTGTCACTTTAAAAAATTAAGAGTATTTATTTAAATGAGATTTGGTTAGATTATTTGACAGTATATAAAATTAATTGACTTATGGTTTGTTCATAACTACTTACAAAGCAACTTCGACTGGGGTCACCCAAACAGCTCTTTCATTGTTGCGCTCGGCTTGAGTCATGGGCGCAAAGTTAGGCTGGGCGGCCGATGTCGATTGTTCATCAGTCATCTAAAATACATTAATTTATTTTGTTTTTTGTTAGTATGATTGTAATAGAAGATTAATTTTTTTATAAGTATTATCAATTGAAAATGTGTATAACATATTAAACTGTGTATAAGTTTAATATGAGGGGTCCAATAATTGCTAATAAACAAATCCTATAATTATCACTGAGTTGACACAGTCGACCGAAGAATCAACCAGTTGGAGCTTATCAATGAGTTGACCAAGTCGATTCATTGATAAGCTCTATCCGGGCGATTTTTCGGGCTACGACTTGAACCATGGATGAGCTAAATCACATGTAGCGACATAATGTAAGTACATGCATTTGGGAGAGTCCGTCGATGGCTAAAGCCGTAGCCAGAAGAATCGACCGGTTGGAGCTTATCAACGAATTAACTAGGTCAACTCATTGATAAGCTCCAACTGGTCGATTCTTCGATCGACTGGGTCAACTCATTGATAAATTATATGATTTGTTTATTATAAATTATTGGACGTCTCATATTTAACTTATATACAGATTAATATTTTATACACATTTACAATTGTAAGTAACATGTTAAACTTTTTGCAAAGTTTACATGAGAGGCCATCTTTTTTTTTATGTTTTAGATACATCAGTTTTATACAATTTTTATAAACAGATTTACAAAATTATAAAACAGTATACTTTTTTTTTCAAAAACAGTTTATAAAAAAAGTTTTTTATGTACTTTTTAAATAAAAAACAGTTTTTATAAAAACTGTTTTCTAGAAAAACAGTATACTTTGAGTTTATACAAAAAACGGTTTTATAATGTCTAAATAACAGTTTTATACTTTTTTAATTAAATTACAAAAACAGATTATATAAAACAGTTTTTGTCAAAACAGTTTTTAAGTAAACCAAATTTTCATTTAAAACAGTTTTTATAAAAACAGTTTTTACAAAATCTGTTTTTATATAAAACAGTTTTTATAAAAACAGTTTTTATAAAAACTGTTTTCTAAAAACTGTTTTATATAAACTGTTTTATTTATTAAACAGTTTTTATAAAAACTGTTTATTTAACACTTTTTTCTATTAAACAGTTTTTAACAAATATGTTGATTAATCAGTTTTTACACAAAAAACTGTTTTTTACAAAAATCTGTATAATAATTAGTTTTTAATATCCAGTTTTTAAAAAACAGTTTTTTTTAAACTGCTTATATCCAGATTTAAAAAAACTGTTTTGTTCTTTTTTAAATAATTATAAAATCAGTTTTTACAAATCTGTTTTTACAAAAACAGTTTATTTAAAACAGTTTATAAAACTGTAAACCAAAATCTGTTTTTACAAAAACAGTTTCTATAAAACTGTTTTTATAAAACTGTTTTTAAAAAAAAGCACTTTACCATTTTTGCTATAAAAACTGTTTTATAAAAATCAGTTTTTATACTTTTTATAATAAATCAATTTCGAAAAAATATGGTTTATCCAGTTTATTAAAAACTGTTTTTTATTAATGAACTGTTTCATACTTATAAAAAGTGTTTTCAATTATTACTTTTTGTACTTTCGAAAAATCAGTTTTTTTTAATGAATTGTTTCAATAATTACAAAAACAGTGTTTTCAATTATTACTTTTTGTATTTATAAAAAGTGCTTATAAAAAAACAGTATACTTTTTTATGTTTATTTTAAAATTTGTAAAATAATAATTAAACATGTTAAGCTTGTGAAAGCTTAACATGAGGGGGCAATTTTTTTAAATATTTCGGGTTAAAACATGAAAAGCATAAACATTGTATAACTATAGAGAGGCATGCATATCAAACACTAGACATATATATTTAACATTAAACTAATTCTATAAACATGCATTAGTTCGAAAATATATTGAGGATGGTTTAAACAAAAAAGAATACTAAATATGAACAAGCAAATAAAGACAATTTATTTAAAAAGTGTGTTTAAATATGTTCATAAATTAAATCCGGAAATTAAATTTATTAAATTTACCATTTTGAAAAACAGTGTATTAAGTAGTTTAATCATGCATAAGAATATATTAAACATATAATAATCTAAATCATTTAAACATAATTATCATGCATACAAAACATATGAATCATGCATATTAAACATATAAAACGAAATTATCATGCAAAACTACAAATCATGCATATAATAAATCATACATACAACTTTTGAACATCACAAAATGATATGAAACTAACAATCATGTACCTTATCATGCATTTGAGTATGCATTTGAGTATAGTATCATGCGTTTGAGTATAGTATCATGCGTTTTTGGAATTTTAATTAAATATTAGAAAAAAAGATGAAAAGAACACATAACCTTGATTGAGAAAAGAAGGGGGTGGGGGGGGGGGGGGGGGGGCGACGGAAGGTGGCGGACGACGGCGGCCGGCTGATTGTGAACGACGGCGGACGGCTAGGCGGCGGCTTAATCCGAACTGGAAGAGAAGGAAGAGAGAAGGAAGAGGTAGTTTAGGGTTTGGGAAATATGAGGTGCGTAGGTTTTTTAAAAAAACGCTAAGGGGTTATTTTATATAATGGATTAGTCACGGTCATAGTCACGGTTTTGACCGTGACTAAACCCTTCGTAAATGTCGCTGCAGGCCTGACGGTCAGAGCCGCCGCTGACCGGTATAGTCACGGTCAGGACCGTGACTATGATCGTGACTATTTTCAAAATTTGAAAATAGTCACGGTCATAGTCACGGTCCTGACCGTGACTATACCGGTCAGCGGCGGCTCTGACCGTCAGGCCTGCAGCGGCCTGACTTCGGCAGTTACGAAGGGTTTAGTCACGACCCTGACCGTGACTATGATCGTGACTTATTAATTTAAAAATAGCTGTCCTGCGACCCAAGCATTTTGTGCAAAAAAAAATGACTAATACAGAACCAAATTCGTGTAAGTTGTTTATTAAAATGTCAAATTATTACAATATTCAAATTATGAAAAGTAAATTAGTTTTATTTATGAATTTCTGTTTTCTTTATAATTTTGTATTTTTGAAGTATTTAAATTATTGGATCATTTTTCGAATTTATAATATGGAATATTGTGGAAACAGTTAAATTTGTAGTGTGGACTGTGGAGTATTAAATAAACTGCTTTCAATTTATCTGGTTTCAATCTGTATTTGAACCGTCTATCTATTCACCTTCTGTCTGATATTGAGCGTTTCTGGAAGGTGTGTTTCTGGCATGACTTCAACACGTCCGCCAATTGGATCACTTAATTGGATGTTATAGTTGACCGTCTCAATTAATTTTTGAATTTTTGAATTTTTTTAATTGAAAATAAATATTTTTTGTTTTGAATTTTTAAAGTTTTGTTACATGGATATAATATGGAGTAATTTTAAATTTCGTATTGTGGAAATTTTAATTTTCAAACTTTGAATTGTTAAAAATTATATTTTGAATTTATAATATGGATATAAAAAACTTGTTGTTGTTGAATTAATATGGAGTAATATTCAGTTCATAAATAATAATGAAGAAGAAAAAAAATCAAATATTGTTGGAGTAATATAATGATGAAGAAAAGAGCACAAATATTAGAAGTCAACAAAATTGAAATTACAACAGCACAATTATTCGCTATCAGAATCGTCATTTTCTACATATACAGTATCTTCTTCTGTATCTGAACCGTCTATCCATTCACATTCTTCCTGATATTGAGCGTTTTGTTGTGCTACATACATTTCCTCAATTTCGCGCTCAGATGGAATTGTTAGGTCCGGAAGGTGCGTTTCTGGCATGACTTCAACACGTCCGCCATTTGGATCACTTAATTGGACGTTATAGTTGACCGTCTCAACAATAGGCGGAGGTTGGAAAAATTGTTGCTGAAAAGCATCTAGATCAACGTCCTTGTGTTGAGTTTGTGATTTAATTTTGTTCGGACGGACAGGACATGCACACACCCAAGGATTTTGTGTCCGCCTTGTTGAAGGATATTCTGCATAATAAATCTGCGCTGCTTGTTGGGCGAGTATGAAAGGCTCATTTTTCGGGTACACACGAGAGTGGTTGACGTCAATCATATTATACTTCGGATTTTTGCGCACGCCACGTGTGGGATCGACCCATGTGCAGCGGAACAGAACGCATGTCAATTTTTGCACACCAGAAGGCATCTCAAGTTCCAGAATCTCCTGCAGGACACCAAAAAAATTGGTTTCCGAGTTATCATAACCGATGGTCGGGACACATAACCCGTTGTTCGTTGTTGGTCGGCCCTGTCCGTAATCGGCTGTGTGATATGTGTAACCGTTTATCACATATTGCCGCCACACTTTGGCACTGGCACTTGGGCCCCACGCTAATGATACTAACAAAGGGTCGACAATCCCACGACTATTGATCTGTAAATATAAACATAATAATAACATTAGGTAAATATTGAAAAATCTTACTTAATAATATATATAATTAATGTGTGTATATATATACCTGATACTTGTACCAATTTACAAAATCGGAGTCCACCAATGCATCAATTTCATTCTCAGGAAAGGCTGATAAAGAAGCTCGGAATTCACTGTGAAGTCAAAAATAAAAAAAACTATAAATTAACTACAAATTTAATTTATAAGTATTACAATTATAACTACAGATTTAACTTACTGATAAAACGGTGAGATTTCTGGACAATTCATGAGGATATAAGTATGCGCAATTTGCAATTCCCCACCCAGGATGTATCGTTGTGTCGCAGCACCTTTACCTCTGCCTGGGTAATTGAAGATGGAAACTACATTTTCATATAAATCCTCGCCAATGTCATCGTTCCGGGCAGGTCTCTTCCTTCTGGTGATGCCGTCACGCTCGAAGTAAAAAGACGAGAACGTTGAGATTTCTTGTTGAAGATACGCTTGACAAATTGAAGCCTCAACGTGTGCCTTGTTGGTCACTTTCTTTTTCAGCTCTCCTAGAAATCTGCAATAATGCAATATAACAACGGTACACATGTTAACAGTTATTGTGAAATAAATATTCTTTTTTTAAATGAAATTGTGACTAACCTTTCAAATTTGTACATCCAGCGATAGAAGACGGGCCCAGCAGTCAAAGCCTCATACGGAAGATGTATTATCAGATGTTCCATTGTATCGAAAAACGATGGATGCATTATTTTTTCCAGATTACACATCAGAATGGGAACAGACTCTTGTAGTCTCCGGAGGGATGCCGCATCCAAAACACTGAAACATATCGATTGAAACAACAAACTGATTTCAGTAATGCAGGACCATACGTGTTCAGGGAGCATCTCTTTTAGTGCAATTGGTAGAAGTCTTTGCATTATTACATGAGCATCGTGAGTTTTCATGCTCGCCGTCGTGATAAGTTTGTTCATGTCTACGCATCTAGACAAGTTGGAGCAGTAGCCATCTGGAAACTTCTGAGACGCAAGCCATTGTAATATTGCTGCCTTTTGTGGTTATGTGACATGGTAGACTGCTTTTGGAACTTCCTTGCCCTGTTATTCTAGATCAACAGAAAGTTCGGGTCTATCACACCAAATAGTCATATCTTTCCTAGCTGCAAGACCGTCTTTAGTTTTGCCTTTCAAATCCATCACCGTGTTAAATATATTGTCAAAGACGTTCTTCTCAGTGTGCATGACATCTAAATTGTGACGGATGAGAAGGTCTTTCCAATAAGGCAACTCCCAGAATATGCTCCTCTTTGTCCACTTATGGGTATCACAATACCCATATGGCTCTTGGTTTGGCTCTTCCATAGCCGTAGGAAAACGTCGAACCCGGTTATAAATTTCTTCACCGGTCAATCTCGGGGGTGGGCTCTCTCGTACCACTCTGCCTCTAATGAAAGACTTCTTGTCCTTTCGATATCGGTGCCTTTCCGGGAGAAACTTGCGGTGACAATCAAAGTAACTTCCTTTTTTGCTGTAACTGAGCCAGTTGGCACCTGATTTCTCCATGCATATCGGACATCCCATCAGACCGTGTGTGCTCCATCCCGAAAGCATGCCACAGGCAGGGAAGTCGCTAATGGTCCAAATGATGGCAACTTTCATGATAAACATTTTATCTGATGAAACATCATAAGTTGGTGTCCCAACGGCCCACAGTTCTTTCATCTCCTCGATAAGGGGTTGGAGATAAATGTCTATCTTTCGCCCAGGATCCTTGGAACCCGGACAAATTAAAGATAAAAGGATGAAATGACTTTTCATGCACATGTCGGGAGGGAGATTGTAAGGAGTTAACATGACCGGCCAACATGAATAGTTCTTGCCAAACCTGCCAAAAGGAGCAAATCCATCTGAGCACAATCCCAGCCGCACATTTCGTGGCTCCATAGCAAACTGAGGATGACAGCGGTCAAAGTGTCTCCAGGCTTCACAGTCCGAAGGGTGAGCCATCATACCCTCGTTGGTTTCGTGCTCAACATGGCAAACCTACGTTTAAACCTACACTAAATTATTACGTTAATGACATTTAATCTTATTAGTAATACACAATTAACAATTCACTAAATTAAATAATATGACCAAATTCAACCCAATAATTTGAACATGTATATAAAGTCATTTGAATTAATAAACAATACACAATTCACAATAACAATTCACAATTCACTTAATTAACACATTACTAACGTACGTTTAACTAACTAATTTCACTTAACATAAACATCATTACGTTTTAAACTACATTTAGCTAACTAATTTTAATTAAATTATTTTATAAACCTAAAAGTTTAACTAATTTTAATTTATGACATTACTACGCTTATTGTTAAATATGTTGTTAATTAATTAACAACCTCACTAATTTAATAGTTTTAATAATTTAAATTGAACCAACTAATTCTAAATAAAAAATAATAATTCAAATAACATACCTTATCTGCATAAACCGGGAAAATGATAGAAGATAGACTACATCCTTCGATCTTTCAAACAGATACTGTATATACTGGGAATGAATTGGTGTGGTTCTGTTGAATGAGCTGCTCCTGCATATATAAAAAATTTAGTCACGGACTTAGTCACGGATTTGTCCGTCACTAAGCAAAACCGTGTCCATTACGCGTCCAACCGTGTTAATGACGTGTAAATGACGTGTTAATCAAAGTAGTCACGGAAATAGTCACGGACATGGCCGTGACTAAATTTATCCGTACATAATACCGTTGCGAATTGATTTACGGGAGATGGAAAATTAAATTTTAATCATAGTCACGGCTTTAGTCACGGATGTGGCCGTGACTAAGTCGCCGGAGTAAAACAAGCCAGGCCGGAAAATCAAACGGGCCTATCGGAGGATTTTAGTCACGGACCAGGACCGTGACTAAGTGTAGTCACGGACATAGTCACGGTCCCAGTCGTGACTATTTTTTTTTAAATTTCCGTGACTAGTCCGTGACTAAACTAGTCACGGACCAAATCCGTGACTACACGCGTGTTTTTTTGTAGTGTTTCCCCGTGGATTCGACCCTTACTTGTGCACTATACTAATGTGACTCGTGCACTTGCGAGGACGGTTAAATTGTCTATCATGTATCATTGCCATAAGTTAATATTTTGTCTGTTTGTTTTGTCATAAACTCTTTCTAGTCTCTGATTTGATTAAGTTTTCAATTGTTGTATTCTTGTAATTCCATATTACTTTAAATTCTTAGGCTGCCTATTTTGCTCATTCTAGTTGTGTAAGAGTGTGAATGGTATTGAGGTTGTGCTAATATATACTTGGTCTTTATTTTGGTTATTTGGATTACTTATTCTACTGATTTCGGTGCGTATCTGATACTACATTGTTTTCTATCTCCAAATCATCTAGTAAAGACGATTTAGACAGTGGCGGAACCAGAACAAAATTTGAAGGGGGGCGAAAAAAAAAGTCAAACCATTGGTTGGACAGATCCTATAATTTGTACCGTTTTTTGGGTGAGTATATTTACAGTAATTTGATCTCAAATCCAATGCAGAAAGAGTTATTCCCATTTGCGCGAAGTGATACTTCATATGAACCTATATATAATTAACACACAAGCAGACACATACATATCAACTTAAATATAGACATTTATTCATTTTTATACTTATTTTGTTAGTGCCTAAACAAAATAATAGACTTCGTTTATCAAACGAGTTTATTTCGATTTAATACGTTTGTCCTTTTATTTTAGAATAAAAAGGGTTAAATAAAACTATAGCTAAACATTTAGAGGAAGATAAATTAATAATACATATATAAGTTACTAACTTATTAAGAAAATAGTAATTTTATTATATTTTTGTATTTTCAAATCAACATTACTACGTTATTTATTTTTTAAAGGATATTTTTTTTATGCAAATGTAATTACATAAATCTAATTATACTCATATAAAGTCAAATATTCCAAATATCAACAAAAAATTTGGCATATTTGTACTGAACCAATGAATAAATAAATAAATAAATAATTATGTTAAAATTTGATTCGTTTTGAAAACTTTTTTGATAGAGTCCTTATAAAATGATATAGGTCAATGTTTTTTTTTTGACAAAATATAGGTCAATGTTTGGAAAGGGAAGAAATAGTTAAAAGTCATTTTTACCATTAATGTATTCAAAAGAAAACGTAAATATAACATGTCAATATTCGAAAAAAGTAAAAACTAAATGGTTTGAATTGAAAAAATAAAATTTTAACATAAAAGTAATTCAAGTGGTAGGAAAAATATTAATAAAACTAATACGGAGTACGTAGTATAACATCACAAAAATTAGCACAAAAAATGAAAGACAGCAAGATTCGAACCCGCGTCTCCCGCAGTTAATAGAAGCAATTCAACCATCAGTGCTACTCGAATTGTTTGATGAGATACGGGTCTGCTAATATTTATAACTACTGTTAATACGGGGCTGGACATATTCATATACATATATATACACTAAAACCTCCGGCGAACGGGGGGCGGCAGCACCGGCTCGCACCCCCCTAGTTCCGCCACTGGATTTAGACATGCATTGCATGAATCAGAAACTGAAGGTAAATGCATTGCATGTGTGGCTGCATTTAGAAAACTAGAAATAATTATATAAATATGACCGAAATAAAGATGATTTACAAAAATATGACTAATTACTAGAGTAGTAATGAAATCATAGTAATTCATATTCAAGTTTTGAACTTAAGTACATAACCACAACACTACGTTGTAGTAATGAATAGTCATATTTTTGTAAATAAGTTTTATTTTAGTAATATTTTTTGTAAAAAACCTTAGAACTATCCAAGAAAAGATGATTACCATAATTTTATCCACTACACCCGTTTTGCAATTCACTCTCACCAATTTAACTAATAATACGATTTTATCATTAAAAAAATAATTTAAACCCTTAATATTAATACAGTTATATATCATCACAAATTCGTAATGTTTCTACACATTTCGTTTATAATCCCTACATTTTATATTGAGATTAAATTATTAATGATTTAAGTCTCCAACTATATGATATGTATTAGCATGAATTTAGCATTTCACTATTCATTTAATGGATGCATAATTAATTTTTTATTATGAAAGAGTGGCTTTCTATATTAATATCGAGATAGTATACACGACAACATCTAGACAGTTATGACCGATCTGATCGTATGCCCTGAGAATAGACGTAGAATACATAATTAATGTTTAAAATATGGAAATACTTTTGTGTGTAATCATCACACTCTAGATTTACAAATTATTACTTTAATCAACAAATATAATATGGAAAAGTGTATAAAATTTAATGTTTTGAGTATATATAAAATATTGGGTATTGTTGAGTCTATTAAAATAATGTACTTTATTACTAAATATGCAAATAAGCTATTTTAAATAATATGATTTGTAATATCTAAGTTGGTGACTATAGATAGTGATTTGATGAATTCAAATACAATTATTCAACAATCATGTGGATGATAATTAATAAAATATGGTTGAATTTGAAACATAAATGTTACCAAATGTTGCTGCCAAAAATGTTACCAAATACATTACATATTTACATGACAAGTTTACTGAGTCAAATGAAATTAATAACAAGATTATAAAGACACACTACGAGAAGGATGTATGGTCATCTTATGAATTTGGAGATCTCAGTTTCAAATGCAAAATTAAAGCCTCACATTAATATATACTAGAAAATTGTTAGAATATAATTCAATATTTCCAAATACTTTGTGAAATTCTAGAGAATCCTACGACTATGTGAAGATGAGTAGAATTCTCTAGAATATTGAGGAATTATCTAGAGAAATATAGTACTCTCTAGATGTGTGTATAATGTTATAGAATCTTCTAGAATACTATAGTCTCTAGAGAAATGTAGAAAACTTTAGAAATGTCTAGAAGGTTGTAGAATATTATAGAGTGTTATAAATAACTGTGGAGCCATCTAGATTCTTCAAGAAGATATTGGAAGCTTGTGGGGGCTTATTGAAAGAATCTACAATATAGAGAGGTAGGTGGAAGATTCTAGAAAAAAGGAATCCATACCCCCTTGTGAGTAGTATAAATAGATGTTGTAGCCTTCATTTGTGTCATGAAAAGAAAGGCTTCTCATAAGTGAGGAAAAGTGAAGTATTCCCAACTAAAAAGAGTGAAGTGAGATATTCGTTCATTTGTAAACTCTCTCTTTTACATTTCAATTATATAATACAAGAGTTTTTTTAGCTCGTGATCCTGGAAGAGTTCGGGGGTGTCATGTTTTCCCCAACAAAAATATACACAATCTAAATACTTATTCTCAAATCAATTGCACACTATTAAACAATGTGGCTAAAGAATTATCAAAAGTTACTTAATACTTGAATTAACACAATGTAACTCATTACTTAAGCAATTTGATTAAAAGGACCAACGAATAAAAAACACTAGATCTGCATTTTTTTAAAAAGTTGAATCTAATGTTTTTAAATAACCGCTTCTGCTTAAATGAAGGGTTTTAAAGTTTAAAGCAAATGGCTGAAGATGTTTTTTAAACTACTTTTCATTTTTTTCAATTCTATTTTTTTTTAACAAAATAGTCTAACTTATACTTTCCAATCAAAACCACTTTTCTTTGAAGAATTGCCAACTTTTACTATTCACCCTTTTTTTAGGGGGTCTGGGGGCCTGGAGTAATTAGGGCTGAAACTCAGCCCATTGAATTTCAAATCCTTATATGTCTAGCGGGTTTCGAACTCGAGACCTCTCAGTAGGCACGATAACCTTACAACCAGCTGGACTGGAATGCTTGATTACTATTCACCCCTTTTCATATAATCTCTAAAACTGGCTACTTATAAAAAGTAGAATAGCAAACACAAATACTCCTTAAATCAATAGCTTAAAAGGCTAAGCGAGGGCTAGACGGCTAGTACATGATTGAAACCAAGCATTGAATTGGCTTTTGTTAAAGCAACACTTTCATAGAGAGTGTGTCCAGGGCTGGCCCTGGCATTGTGCCAGCAGTGCGGCCGCACAGGGCCCAACTTGAAGGAAGGCCCATTTTTTTTATTTAAATAACTAAGAGCACTCACCCTTCGAGCAAAATTTTCAGACGACTTCCTAAATCTAATAAGTTGCTGGCCGTGAGAGTCTAACTCACGTCACTTTGAGTAAGAAGCAGTAGCTTACCAACTCACCAAGTAATCTTCTTGGAATACATTTGTCATTAACAGTAAAAATATCTTTAAGGCAATCAATTAAAACATTCTATTACTCCCAATTTATTGTAATTGAACACATAATAAATTTAACTGTACGTATTGTCGGTATTACTTTACTTCCGCATACATGCAACATGTGAAATATAAGTCACAAAAATTACCATGTCTCAAATTGTGTTGTAAAATTCACATTTTTAGTCAAAAGATTCATTTAATTTTATTCACTTAATTGGGATATTTAACAATTATTAATTAAATTTTAACTTGTATTGTTTAAGTTTGTAAATATTTTAATGCACTTTCTAAATATGTAAATTTTTATTTTTAAATTGAATTAATTAGCAATAGGGATGATATAACTTTATCATTGAGACAGAGGTAATATATTTTTTTTACAAGGCCTTTTATTTAATTTTGAACATGACCTTCAATATCTCAGGGCCGGTCCTGTATGTGTCCATTAGGCTACTAGTTAAGATCTCATCTAATCTAAAAACTTATAAACGCCAATGCAAGTAAGGGCATTTTAGGTAGCAAAAAAGTGTTGGTGGAATTGTATTGCTTTATAAAGTTGCACAATATGTTCACAACTTTGTACTTTTTGGTAATGGCCTCATCCCTCCTTCTGGTCTCCGTCAAAGTCCTGAACTTCGACTAAACATCACCTTATGCATCTCATCCGTTCCGTTTTCATTTGGTTTGTCTTGCTTTTTTCTATTGTTAATCCAAGGACGGCTTTCTTCTTCTCGATTATCGCAGCTTGGGCTCTGTTGAAGCTGTACTACTTACTAAAGCTGATGGAAGTAGGTTCAAATGGTGAAGCTAGGTTCAACTATTCTTTCTGGGAAAGGTAGTTCGACCGAGTGGAATTGAAGATAAAAGAGCTCACGTTGAAGCACCTTTGAGTGAAATTGCCTACCCCGGAGGTGAACGTGTAGAAAGGGGAAAGCTGCATCTAACGGTAAATAAGATTAGCCATTACGGATCCACCCTTGTTCATATAATGCCCACCTTTGTCCGTTTGCAGGTCCAATTGAGCAAATATGTTCTTCCCAGATGGATATTCCCAATTCTTATGCCCCTTTCCCTTTATAAGTCAGTTGTTAGAAATGCTTAAATTTCTTCGAAACATACTAGACTACTAATAAGTGTATGTAAATATGTATAAATGATATTTTTAGATAAATAAATTTTATGCTTATATATGGAGTAGTTATTATTTTTAAAAAGCTCACTAGGTGTTTTATATGAATTAATGTGTTAGCATTTCTGATATAGCCATTTATTTGGTTATCAAGAACTAATCAAAGGTTTACGCAACTGCATATTTGTGGGTGTTCCACCTTTCGTAGGAAGATCAAATGCTCTTATTAATCTTATAAGAGCTTTTCACTATTAATCTCAATTTTATTTTCTTTCTTTTCCTTTTGGTGGTGATATCATGTATCGATTCATGTTAATTAACCGACCCTAATATCTTTTGGGAATAAGGATTGTATGTTGTTGTTGTTGTAGAAGGAGATTTTCACAGTTAATCTCAGTTTTTCTCGGCCTCCAAGGATTTGTATCAGTTTTACCACCGATAGGGGGCTCACGTTGAAGGATGTAGAATGTATGGATTCGTGTACGACTATGTGATAGGCACCAACGATGGAAGGTAAGATCATAGATGAAGGAATGTTGAACAATAAATATTGCAAAGTTTTTAGGAAAGGCTGGTTATATTTTCTCTCACAGAAAGCACTTGCAGTCGGAAAGCCTGATCTGTGTCCATTGCATATCGCATGGCTCAATAATATACACTATGGGTGGACTCGGGCCGGTTCGGGCCTCGGGCCAGAAAACTAGGGCCCGAGCCCGAACCGCCGGTGGCCGGTTCCGGGCCAAACCGGGCCGAGCCAAACCGGTCCATATATTTTTTTTTTTGGTTCTCCTATTTAACCCCCTACCCCTCCCCCTCAACCCCAAACCACCTCAAATGGCCCAAAATACCTAATCCAACCCAAAACTTAAAAAAATTTCAAAAAAAAAAAAAAAATTAAAATCCGGCCCGGACCGGGCCGGTTCACCTAAAGCAGGGCCCGAGCCCGGACCGCCCATCACCCGGGCCGGGCCAAACCAAACCGATGGACCCACCGGGCCCCGGGCCGGGCCAAACAGTAACCAGGCCGGGCCGGTTCCAGGTCGGGCCGCCCGGCCCGAGTCCACCCCTAATATACACCCTGATTCGCTTCTATCTCCCCCGATCCGTTTCTTTTTTAGTGTCTGTTATTCGTTTCTATTTTCCATGTTTTGAAAAGAAAAGAAAAGTGGTTGTATTAAGAAAAGCGGGTATTGTAAATAGAATTTCTTTTAGGAAAAACACCATCCTTTTTAAAGTAAAGGTGCAAATTAAATGTTTATTCCTGAAGACTTAAATGAACAAGTTAAAAATGTTCTTGGTCAACACATTTGATGGTAAATTGTGAATTTCGCTGAATAGAAGCAAGCACGTCCCAAATATTAGAATCATATACGATAGTATTTAACAAAAGTAATGTATTGAGCACTTATTCAATCGCGCAACGCGCGTGTTAAAATTAGTATTGTCATAAACATCACACATGACAGACATCAACTGTAAATGATAAGGTCAATTACTAGTTATATTTCATAGGGGGGGTGAACAAAAAAACCGAAAAACCGAAACCGACCGACAAACCGACCGAAACCGAACCGACCAAAACCGAAACCGACTCAAACCGAAACCGACTCAAACCGATTAAACATTGGCGGTTCGGTTTACGGTTTCACCTTTGGGGTTAAAAAACCGACCGAACCGAAACCGACCGACAAAAACCGACAAAAACAAGCTAAAACTAACCGAAACCGACACGAACCGACCGATATTAACCGAACCGAAACCGAACCAAAACCGACTCAAGTAGTGCGGTTCGGTTTACGGTTTCAGCTTTTCCGGAAAAAAACCGACCAAACCGAACCGACCAAACCGAACCGACGAACACCCCTTATTATTTCACCTCTCAAATAGAATAGGTGAATTCTCACTTATACATCTAAACTTGAGTTCTAAAAGCTTCAGTTCTTATATGTAAGGACCTATTATTAGTACTGCTTGTATTATTTTTCAAACAGAAGCTGTAGAAACTGCCTAAATCATGTTAGACATATATAATATAGTTGAGACTGACTAGCTAGCTAAGGAAAGTTATTAAAAAGTTTCATTCAATTTCACTTTGGATAAGATCAACTATGGGTGGAGGCCGATATTGTTGGTGGTGCTATTTGCTGGTGATTGCAAGGCGGCGGGACAGGGTGGGCGATGAAGGTGGGAACGTCTTCCCCCGGCATCAACACTGACACTCCTCTAGCATACACTGTCATCTGAAATGGTAGACCAACAACGTCCTAACATTCATTAGATTAAAAAGAACGGCAAACGAAAATGCAACTTCATATGAACAAATAATGTACTGATGTCCCCTACCATGTTTTTGTACTCCATTGCTATTTTTTGTAATAGAGCCAAAAAATCACTATTTTTAGTTTGAAAATATGATGTAGTAAAGCAAATAACTCACTGAATGTATGCGCTTCTTTATTACGGAGTATGAAGCAACACTTAATCCAAACAATTTTCGATGCGGTTTTCACCATGGGACATCTGGAAACAACCTCTTTATGTTTTAATCAACCCCTATTCCTTCTAATTTGTTACTCCCTCCGTCCCCCTAACTTTGTCCCGTTTTACATTTTTCATTCGTTTCATTAAGTTTGTCTCGTACCATATTTGGTAATATTTCTGTGGCTACAATTCATTTTTACTTTTTTCACATTTTATCAATTCAATACCAACTACACAATTCTACTTTTTTTAAAAAACTTTCCCACACCTTTTTGTCCCAAATTTAGGAGAACGGGGATAGTAATTGATGATGAAAATCATGATGAATTTGAGAATGAATTTCAAAGATTCTATTAATACCCCGGTGTCCTCAATTTCAATCCATTATTATGAGATTGATTCATTAGACAATGAATGTCTATATAGATAGTTATGGATCTTTAACCTAAAACAACATTAGATACATCTTATCAAAATTCAGCCACTACTTATCCATGGATTCGTGGATTTGATAGAACCAATGAATCTCTATTAAAACCCACCGACTCTTTTTTTTTTTCTTACAAATCTAATTTAATACGAGTACTCTGTATGTCATACCAACCTTAATTATATGAACAAATACTCAACATAGGCCTCTCAGTCCAAACCGAGACATCGTGTCTAAAAGGGTCGAACATACCTTAATGAGCTAACTACTCCGTATATCACATCAAATTTTAATATAAAGAAACTTGATTGGTTCACATTTGAACTAATGAAGTTTGAATCTTAATGTTATCTTTTACTCTATGGACCATGCCACCATGGTTCTATTTTATCATGGAATTTTGAGTTCCATGATTCGTGGATCCATGGTTCAAATCAAATTTGAACCAATGGAAAGATATGAAAATCTGAATGGAAAGATATAATCGGTATTCATCTTTTACTCAGTATAATTTTATAAATGAACTAATGAAGTTTGAATCCTAATTTTAGAGCTCGGTGATCAAATCACCGCAAGTCCACAAGAGATTAAAGATCTTTCCCACGGTTAATTAATTAAAGTCAGTTTTTAATGAAATTAGCAAATTTCGAAAGGAAGGAATACGGAACTCCCTTGGGGTTTTGTCCGGCGGCAAGCTTTCTTGGCTAGCCACCGCATCTTTTATTTGTTGGAGGTGCTTTGTCCGGCGGCAAGCTTTCTTGACTAGCCATCGCGTTTTTTATTTGTTGAAGGTGCTTTTTGTTTGGAGTATTGACGGACAACAAGGTGAAGGCTTCGGTCTTGCTTCAAATTGGCGTGTTGCTTGAAGACTTCTGCGGCATCGGTATAAGCCCGCTTCGTTGGCGGATATGGAGGTGGAAACGAGTTTTGGATTTTCGTTTGAGTTTTCTCTTTTCGGTCTGGGAAGTTTTGTGGACAAAGAAGAACTGGATCTGAATAAAGCTGATGTTGAACTTGTGGCGGATGAACGGCGGGCGCGTCCCCCTTCCGAGCCGCCGCCGTGGAGTGCAAGCAAATCTAGAGTTTGGAAGATGATGAGTGATTTCTATTTTAATTTCGTTTTATTCAGTTTGTGTTTTTTCTGTCGAATTGTATGTTGTTTGGTCCTGTTTTGGTATTTGCCTTTTCATTTATTTTCCAGTTTGTAAGACGTTGATTTTGGATATGGGGGGTGAGAGGAATATGATAACTGTTTATGGCTTTTTGTTTCCCGGTTATGGATCAACGAATTTTATTGCTACGGCAATTAGGGTTGAGCACAGGTCAGGTTCGGGCGGGTTGGGTTTGCGTACCCTAAACCCGTTCGGGTTTTTAAGTTAAATACTAGGCCCGACCCTTTGATATTTCAAATTGGGTTTTTTCGGATATTTGTAAGTCGGATATTATCGGATTTCGGATCGGATTTCGGATATTTCGGTTATATTAAAAAAATTATAGTTGGATAATTAAAGTGTTTGAATGTCACTTTAACAAAAATTCTACATACTAGTGCACTAAACATTCAAATTATGCAAATAATGTAATACAAATTGCATAAAAATTACACAAATAATTGAACACAAGTATTAATTTAATATTTTCAAAATACACACTACATAATTTAATATATTTTGAATATTTCGGTTATATTAAAACACATTATAATTGGATAATTAAAGTGTTGGAATGTCACTTTGACAAAAATTGTACACACTAGTGAACTACACATTCAAATTACAAAAATAATTTAACACAAAATGCACAAATATTTACACAAATTATTGAACACAAGTATTAATTTAACATATTCAAAGTACCCACTAAATTATTTAATATATTTCGGATATTCGGGCGGGTCGGGTTGGGATTTTACAAACCCTACCCGCCACCCGATCTAGACCCAATACTAATCGGATTTTCGGTTTCGGGTTTTTCGGGTCGGATATCCATTTCGGTTTGGATATTATCCTAAAAAACTTCGGGTTTTGCGGGTCGGTTCGGGTTTTGCTTAGCCCTAACGATGATTAATTCCGAGTCTGATTCGGTGATAATGGTTATCAGTTTTTCTTTTGTTAGTTGACCCATACTCTGAATTATTGGTTATTAATCTAAGCCGAATTCAGTCAAAAATTAAATTAGCAAATTTCGATCTAATTAAAAAAATTCTTAGAATCATTTTCATATACTACATCCTTTCTCTTAAAAAATTGTACTCCGTAATAGGGTTGTATACGAATCGAATCGAGTCGAATAATGAGATTTTGTATTTGTATTTGTTTAATTTTTTCGAATACGAATTCGAATTCAAATATGAAACGAATATTAATTTCGATTTGTATTTGTATTTGTTTAACAATACGAATAGTTAACGAATCATATACGAATATCGAATCGATTTGAACATAGGTTAAATATTAGCCAAATAACACTTTAAAATGACTTTTCTTATATTCCGTATTTTTTATGTTGTGAATGCATGCTATGACTTAATGGAGTGTGTGTTTTTAGAATTTAAATTTAATGGATCAATGCATTTTTAGATGATGCACAATAAAGTGAATTAATTTTATGATTAATAAATATAAATTTATTTCAAACTTTTTGAAATAAACACTAACACACATGTATTAGAAATTATACTTATAATGTGTGAAATAAGTTGATAATTCTATATATCAAAGTCAAACAACTCCGATTTTATTCTTTAAATCGAATACATAATTATTTGTATTGTATTCGAAAGACATTTGAACCAAAAAATGATTTGTATTTGTATTTATATTCGGGTGGTTATTACAAATGGGCTTGGAATCTGTATGCAAAAATGTATATATGGGCTACACTTTGAGGATATTTCTATCTTTTAAAAGTTATTATAGTGTTATTACTATTATTATTAATATTGATATTAATATTACCATTGTTATTAACCGAATATATTTGATTAATATTCGAATCGAATACACTGATATTCTTATTTGTATTTGATAACAACTCGAATCAAATTTAATATTCTTATTTGTATTTGTATTTGAATTTTCCGAATTCGAATCGTCTTATACGAATTCGAATCGCGAATCGAGCACAAATTATTTGATTCGTTTACAACCCTACTCCGTAATAAGGAAGAGTGGTGTTATTATAGATAGTACTTTTGTAGTGAGTGCCTTAGGCAAAGAGGCAATTGCCTAGGCCCCACAATTTTGGGAAAAAATTAGGGCCCAAAAATATATTATCTTCTTTTATATATATACCCATTACCCATAGGTAGTATGCCAATTTGAATTTGCAACTTCTGAAATTCCAACTTCAAACTTTGAACAGTTTTCTAGTCTAAAAGAGTGGAAAACGTTAATTTATTCCTTTCCAAAATATAATCCCATTATTCTAGGTAAATAATTAAGTATAAATATTTTTAATGTTAATTTTTTATGGTGCTTAAGGGCCTTATTATACTATTGGATTCAGACCAAAAAATTCATAGGATCGACCCTGAGTGAGTCCTTATTAATGATAGCAAATACTATCTATATCATCGATCTTCTCACATTTAATCTATATTTTCCATCATTTGTAATGGAGTCAAAGATTCATTATTTTTTGGCTTGAGAATATGATAGAATAAAGCAAAATGACTCTCTAAACTGTCTGCGCTCCTTTATTATGAAGCATCAGTCAATCCACATTTTTGAACGCGATTTTCACTATGACTCATACGGAAACAGTCTTTCTGTGCTTTAGTACAGGAGTAAGACTGCGTACATCCGACACCCCTACCCATCGTAAGTGGGAGCCTTTGCGGCACTAAATTAAATGAAAATGATAATCTCTTTGGTGTATAATTTCCCCCTCTCACTCGTAGTTTTCTAGCCAAGTTCACAATGAGAATATTGAACATTACGGAATACTCCGCATGAAATTTGAGTGGAAAGTACTCGTATTATTTTGGCCCGATGGATTTGGCCAAATTTAAAGTAGGTGGAAAATAAAAAAATAAAAATTATTATGCAGAAAAGAGAAAATTGGGCAGAACAACAAATTAGTTTTAATAAAAGCGAGAAAATTGAACATAACCACAAATTAGTTACGTTAATAAAAAATAAAATAATACTCCCTCCGTCCCAATATAAAAGGCACATTTGCGTTTGGGGACTTTTTAAGGGTGAACACTGTTTGAATACTGTTTGGTACTGTTTAAACACTGTTTGGCACTGTTTGGACACTGTTTGGCACTGTTTAACACTGTTTTGTTTGCCAAAAAGGGAAATGTGCCTTTTATATTGGGACGGACCAAAAAAAAAGTGTGTCTTTTATATTGGGACAGAGGGAGTAGTAAAGTTTTTGGAACAGTAGACTAAAAATTGACAAAATTACTCCAGTTTTATTAACCAATTATTTAACCAATTTAGAATAGAACAAAACAAATAGTCATTTCAATAAGACAAACGCACATGGTGATGACAAAAAGGGACCCATAAGAGAAAAAAAGCAGCTAGAAAAGCAGACACAACATCACATTAATGTCACTCATGTTTGGTGTGAGATATCTTTAGAAATCTTTTGGAGCTAAAAACTACCATACGGTAACTCACTAACTTGTAATCTTTTTTTTTTTTTTTTTTTTTTTGTAATCTTTTTATCTTTTACTCCGTACTACGTAAGACATACGGGAGTACAAAAAATTACTCCTTCGTAGGCTGTGTGGGCCGGTGTGGCACAATAAAATTTGGAAAATTATGTTTGTAGACTTTCATTTATACACGTTTAACGTTCTATATATGCGCATATATTTTATGTGTAGTATACTCATTAATCAAAGAACAAATATTATCAAGACGCAATAAAAAAAATTAACAAGACGCAAAATAAGACAGGCAAAATACACGGGTGTGTACAAGACGGGATAAATTGATGTGTTTTAACATCTTTCTCAAAATTATGGTTTATGGTAAAAGATGCTCTAAAAAAGCTTATGATTCCAACCAAGGTGATTTCTATAAGATGGTACCGAATTTATATAAGAATAAATGCGGATGGTTAATGATCTTTTTGATTGACTTCACTTTGTGAAATAAATGAGAAAATTTCGATTTAAAAAACAATAAATCAGAAAATCATATTCTAGTGGATGGGAGCATATATGCAGTAATCTAAGACAAAATTATGGCATATTGATATCTGAGTATGAATATTGTTTATGGGCCCTAGATATCAACTTCCTTACCCCATCAAGTTTTGTTTTAGAAAAGAATACAAGAATAAATCTAAATTGTTTGCAATCGCACCAAAACAAAAGCTGTATGAGAATAAAAAACGACAATAATTCTGGAGGATAACTGGTAAGCTATGTGCCTTTTTAAATATTGCTATAATAATGAAATGCATTGAAGTGACACTACTACCCTTTTTCAGATACTCCCTGTTGTTTGTCTTGATTTAAATCATTTAATAACCAAATATAATTAGGCTTTTAAGGATTTAGCAAGCTAAGCGAATCTTTGTAATATTTTCTGGAAATAAACAATTTCGTCATTTTATCAACTTAGAGCATCTCCAATGATAAAATGTGCATGGTGCACAGGTGGCATGAGAAATAACCACATAAATATTAGTAAATAAATTTTTTCTCTCCTTATTTGAATGCTTTTATACAGTTTTGGTAAGTTTTTCTTCACATTGTCACTCATGCCACATGTGCACCGTGGACATTATAGCATTGAAGATACTCTTAAGGTCTATTTGCAACAACTTTTGCTTTTAAAAAAGTGTTTTTTTAATGAAATGTGGAGAAGTGATTAAATAAAGTTGATAATGTTTGAGAAAAAAAGTGATTTTGAAAAGTAAAAGTGGGTAGTGTTTGGTAAAATAAGCGTTTTTTGTGTAATAGAAAAAGTAAAATCACTTTTGACGCGGAAGTCAAGAAAAATAAAAGTTGTAGTGTTTGGAAAATAAGTGTTTTTTTAAAGTCAAAAGCTGAGAAGTGCTTTTTTAAAAAGAGTTGCAAACCATCCCTTAATATACAGCTACAAATTAAATCTACTGCTCCCTACTAGAAGCACTAGCTTGAACCATAAGTCAAGTAATCTAGCCATTTACAGTGAAGGATATGGTAAAACTGTAAAACGTCTAGAACAAGGAAAGGATTAGAAAATACGGAGTATGATTATGAAAGATTTTTTTATGAATCATCATCTCCGCTTTGAAATAAACAGGTAAAAAGAAAAATGAGTAACTGAGTAAAAGAGAACAACTGCCCGTCTCTGCACCCTGCTACTCTAAAGTTATTTGCTTTAGTCACCCCACACAATCATTACGTAGTATTATCTTCTACTCCGTAATAAAAATCTAATTACCATCGATCTTCATTCTCTTAAATCTTTAAGACCTGAAAATAGTTCGGCTCCACTCTTCGGCCGGACCCAAAGGCCCCTCTTTCGTTCATGAAGATGCATTTTCTGTTTTATATAGGGAAAATATATCACATTTTCCTCAAACAGTGTTCAGGGGCGGAGCTAGAGCACTGAGCCGGTACAAAGAATATTTTTCGAAAAAAAATTACACAAAATTTTTAACCTTAAAAATTAAAGCACTTGGGCCCACTAAAATTTAACCGAGCTTTGAATGGATTGTAATGTATTGAAGTGTCACTAAGAGGAGGGAGTATTTCTTTTTCGTTTTGTCTCAAAAATTGTCGTATAACAATTTCATAAAGTTTGCATGTTTCTACACCATTCAAACTTTATTCATTATAATAAAATACTTTTATCATAATAAAAAGTTCTTTTTTTAATTAAACGAGTTCTTGCCAAACCTCTCCATCTACATTTGTATTAATTTCTATTCGAAATTAGAAGACATTATGAAAAAGGTTAATATGGAGAATAAGAGTTCATTAGGGGACCAAGTTTTTCGATTTATTAGTCAATTTTTTAACCAAACATGTATTCCGGGTAACTTATTATTTTGTGCGTTGGATTGGGTAATAATAAGAAAAAGTAATGTTGAAATTACTTTTCTGGTTATATTGGTTGAAGTTAGTATAAATAATCATATTGGCTATTTTACATATAATCTTTTCTTTATTTGATTAATAAAAAATATTTTAAATATGATTTTTCACAAGCCAACATAATTATTCAATCCAGTCACTGTAGTCAAAATTCGTAAATTTCAACAGAATCAATTGATTCAACCACTATTTGTGTTACCAAACAGGCTATGAGTATTTAAAATTATCATACTCCGTTTTCCCATAATTTTACTTAAAGGTGTAATTTTGTGCTTTGAGCAGGCCGTTTAAAACTTTAAATACAATATGATTTGTGAAAGGTCTAAAATATGTGTGTTTCACTGTTATTTTCATATATAATGGTATATCTAATCTAATTTATTTAAATTTGGAATAGCGTCAGCCTGAAACAAGTCCAAGACGAAAACATCACCCATTAATGTAACCGGAATTTTATGCTACACTATTTTATCATTTTCTAATCCAGATTTTACGAATCAATAATTTTTTAAAGTGATTATTATATAAATGTAAGTTTTAGTAGTTGATAAATTTTAAATATTTTCATGACGTCGGTCAAAACATCGTAAACATACTTCTGTTACAGTATTAAACTACTCCGTATTAATTAAACAACAAAATTGGAATTCAACTCCAAGACAAAAAGCAAAACATAAATTAGAGATTAAAATAGCAAGAGGAGCTAGCTAGGCCTTACTTCTGGGGATGGAAAACCGAGCTTTGATTGAATAGTAATGTGATTTGAGTCGCCGGACGGGGATGTGGATGATCTACCGCGTAGTAGCCTCTCAAAAATGGCCATTACAAGGAACATTAAAATCAGAATAGCAGTCGCAACGAATCCGAGCGAAACTGCATTTACAGAGCTGTCAAAATTCCGCCACTGATCGTCCCTGTCCGGGCCGCCACCGGCCGCCGGAGACACGCCCGGAGGCAGCACCAGTCCCCAACTAACACCGCCCCGCCCCATCCAGCAAATTTAAACAAACAGAGGAGTATTTCGATTGTCTTTCATGCATCACCAGGAACAGAGATTATTCAGCCCTAGAAACAGAAAGGTGCGGTAATTGCTGAGTTGATGATGATAGGAAATGGAGATGATTCGAGCAGGTTGGATTTCAATTTGGCGAAGGTTAATTTATGCTTGATACTCTGTTTATGGAGTAGCACAATGCAAAAGGATAAAAACAGGGAAGAAATTGAAACAGAGCGAGAGTTCAGGACAGAGAGCTAAAGAGAGAAAGAGCTCGTGTAATAGCAGCAGAGAAAGTGCCGTGATGAATGATAATGATGATGATATGTAGACAGAATTTTCAATCATTTTCAATTTTTCTGTTCTTTGTTTTATTTATAATAGACAGTGTAATTATTATGATTAGATTAATGACGTTTATTATAATGTCCATCCACGACAAGATTTACAAATTAACTACAGTAGTGATTGGAACTGCAATCCACTGGGGCAGAGAGTGGAGACTAGAGGAGGGGGTACTCCAATATTAAAAGAAAGTAATTAGACGAGAAGTCAAATTTGGACCTTACACAAAACAGTTCTATGTTCCCCTTCCCACAAAAAATCCTACTTTGATCATGTGATACTTGTTTGGTTCTTATTTTTTTTGGAAGGATTGGAACAATATAAGTCCCATAACAGATTTCGCAATAGAAAAGAAGATCAAAGGAAATTTGGAAACCAACAAAAGAATTTATGAAATACTCCATTCCGTTCTGAATTTTCTTTACATTTTCCTTTTTGGGCTGTCCCAGAATCATCTTTACACTTTCTTATTTGTCTTATATGGCAAACAAATCTACCCAAAACAATGCTGAACAGTGCCAAACAGTTTATTTCCTTAAAAACTGTGAAGTCAAACTGTAAAGGAGAATCAGAACCGGATGGAGTATGTTTCATGACAAAAGAAGTGATAGAGTATATTTTATGGGTAATAGAAAGTTAGTAACATGATTATTAGGTGTAACCAGTTAGACCTGCACAAAAGCGGGTTCGGGCCGGGCTTTTCATAAGTTTTCTGCCCATCGCGTGTGGGCGGGCCCGGCCCGGCCCGCAAAAACGGGCCTTACCCCATGTCCATACCCGCCCGTAAGAGCGGGCCGGGTAGTCCACCGGGCCGCCAGGCCCGGGAAGACTTTAAATTTTTCAAAATTATATAATTTATTTAATACTTTATACTCCCTCCGTCCCAAAATCGTTGGCCAATGTTGACTTGCACGTGGATTAATAAAGTAAAAACTGTGTGGTTAAAATTTGTGCAGAGGAGAGAGAATTAACTTTAGCCACATATTCCTTACTTTAAATGGAAATGGCCAACCTTTTTGGGACGGCCAAAAAAGGAAATTTGGCCAACCATTTTGGGAGTAAATAATATTACAACATGTCCGGTGGCGGGCCGGTGGACTACAGTGACTGGATTGAATAATTATGTTGGCTTGTGAAAAATCATATTTAAAATATTTTTTATTAATCAAATAAAGAAAAGATTATATGTAAAATAGCTAATATGATTATTTATACTAACTTCAACCAATATAACCAGAAAAGTAATTTCAACATTACTTTTTCTTAATATTAAGAGCGGGTAGTCCACCGGGCCGCCAGGCCCGGGAAGACTTTAAATTTTATAAATTATATAAATTATATGGACATGGGGTCCCCGTAAGAGCGGGCCGGGCCGGGCCGGGCCGGTGGGTAAATATATATGCCCAAGCCCGCTAATTTGTGCGGGCGGGCTGGGCGGGCCGGCTCGGTTTTGTACAGGTCTATAACCAGTGTTCTAAAATGCGGCAAAAGGCGAGGCCTAGGCGTCTAGGCGAGGGGCGGCCGAGAAACGTCCTGCATCATAGAAAGACATGAAAAAGGCGATCAACAGGCAAAAAGTTGATCACCAAATGTGTGAAAAGACGTAAGCCTAGTCGCAAAGGGCAAGATCTAGGGAGTAGTTTTTTGCACGAATTATTTGTTGTGCAAAAAAGTTGATAACATAAAAAACATTTTTATTTATGAAACCTAATGTGGAATTGTAAGAAGCAACACTACATCATTTTGTACTTGCAGTTTTTATACATTTGAATATTATATATATTGGGAAACGTAAAAAAAATAGACTCAATTTTGAATAATAAGTTTAGATATCTCTTCGATTCTTCATAATCACTATAAAATACGTAGTAATTATCAACATAAATATAAAACGCCTTTTCACGTATAGGGTTCATCTATTCTTGCCTAGATTTCAAAAGTTTGAGGTTTGGTTTTGTCGTCTCAACGCGCCTCACGCCTTTTAGAACATACAGTGTAACACTAATATTGAATTGCCTTAATGGATGAAATGTCAATCCAACATTAATAATAGATTCCCTTTTCTCTTTCTATATTTCATTTGTCAGCAATCCGAATTTTATTTTTAAATTCATTTAAAGAAAGACAATTAATATTGTTTCTCTATACTTTAAAACACATTTGTGTTTTCATTAAATATGTAAAATCAAGACAAGAAATAAATACTACATAATAGACATGATAATTTGCACCAAATAAGGAGAACACAGTTTGCAATATCCACATTTAAGTTTTCAAATGATTGTTTCGAAAGTATTACTGAAATAGAATGTATTTACTAATAGAATGTACTATATATAGTCACTACCTTAAGTGGTCATATTTTTTACTGATGATCGTTGCGCTTATCCCTTTTAGTGCCGCATTCCCGTGACCCAACAATCTCCCAACACTTGTCAGCCTCAACTGCGCAGCATACTGTTGCTAGGGTCGAACCCGTGATCTTAGGCTCTGATACCACTTGAGAATCATTGCACTTACTGCTACACTAAAACAATTCAATGACAATGTGTCACACAGTTCCTCTCCTTATAGAACATGCAAAGTGCCACGATTTGAATGCATGGACAAGCTAGCAAAATTGCTGGCACCGCATCCCTGAGACCCGAAATTTATAAATATCTTTTATTTTATTGAGAAATCTACATTTTACTAACCGAACATGTATCACGTCTTATCCTTGAGGTCTTTTTTGTACTTCTATATTTTAGTACTTACATCTTTTATCCCCTCCGACATTCCATCGAGATGGATCTCGAAAACTCAATTTTACAACCGGTACATCAGCTACTCCGCCTTGGTCACCGACAACATCCCGTGTTGGAGACGTGGCAACTCCTACTACAACTACGCGTGCCATAAGCAGGTCAACCCCTACCACAGTGGCTGCTCCGCCAATACCTAGTGCGTTAGAGGATGAAGATTCACAACCACCAGATCATCACATGATATACATAGTATCATCATTTTGTTCTCGGTCGATCAATCCCTCTCAATTACGTACATTCACAATTGATGGATTAATAAAGTATTGTTTATTGACGATTTTAAGGATGTTTATTTATTTATAGTTGGAAATTGGAATTGTCGGCTTCGAGTTTTTACTTCGCTTTTTATAATCAGATATGCCATGCAAGAATTGATTGATTGGTTGTGTTAAAAAACCGGACTCCGATCCCTCAAATATGCACCCCTTAATTTCTGGTCGTTCAGTTTCAATATCTCCCTCTGAAAAACACTATGAATGTGAACATTCTAGAATATACAATTCATAAGATGCATTGTATATTCTAGAGAACATACTATTCTAGATGCATTTGTATGTTGGTGTCTGATGGTATGAACAACTATATTTGATGATATTTGTGGTGTGACAGAATCTTCTCTGACATCAAGAGAACATGTATTAAAATAGCATTTGTAGGAATTAAGTAGAGAATTTATACACCAACAACTTATAGATTAAGGGAAGTGATGTTACCTCAACAACCTCCTTAATTCAAGCTGTGCTGGACAAATGAAACTAACATAATCCAAACGAGTTGCCTCAAACTAAAGCATTTAGTAACCCCACAAACCACTATCACACCATGTAATCTAGTCAAAATGATCCCCAAGAAACATGATTTACTTTGAAATTATAGATTATATTCAAAATGTGATAGATAACTATGTAAGTTATTCAATGCAAAGAAACAAACAAACATGTTGTTCTCATACACTAGTTGTTCACAGTTTTTGTTTTGTGATGTATGTGTAAATATCTATAGGCTTGAAGTTCTCGATGAAGAACCTGCTGATAATGAGGAAGGTAGTGGTTGGAGCAATGTCGTTCCACTGTGAGTTTGTTTAATTAATTGAGTTTGTTCAATTAACTATCAAATATGTTCAAACTCTATACAATATAGTTATATAGTACTTACATCAAGTGTTTCTTTAGGCTTGTTTTTCTACAAAAGGCAAGCATTCTATTTTATGCCTCTAACATATATGACCAGAATAAAACTTGAAAAACAACAGACAATACATATAAAATAAGTAAACAATAAATTATGATAATAATATAATAGTAGAGCAGGTAATAGATAGTTCATTGTTTTGAATGATGAATTTATCTTGAGAGGCCACAATGAGGTAGAGTAAGTGGTCGCAACATTTGATTACGGAGGTCATGAGGTTGGAGAAGGGTGCCGATTTGGTGGTTGGGTCAGCGCCAAAGATTTATTGGAAATTCTTGGAATCAGGGAGATGGTTAAGCTAGCGGGGCTAGACATGGAGTCACCGCCAAGAAAGGTGATATCTACTCTTAAACCGATGAATTATATGTGCAGACCGTGAGATGCAATGAGGCGGGAGAGATGCAATGTGCAATAGATACAATGAGCTGTTTTTTTAATATGGAATGCTAAAATGAAGGATAAAACTGGAAAATAATAATAAAGTTTCGTAAAATAGAACTAAATAAATTTCACGCATGGAAGAAATAGAACCAAGTCCTACTTTTGTAAACTTACTAAGATTTAGTCTTAAGGAGAGCAATTTTCTCTAGTAATAAATGTGTCAAACTAAAACAAGACATCCAATATGAAAAGGAGGTAGTAACATTTATGAAGAAGACATGAAGAATTTGAAAATTCATGATATGATATGAACTATTTGAAACATGTTTCTCATTTTGAAGGATAATTATATACAACATATGTTAAGACTCGGGTTCCATCCTAAAAGGTTCACGGAGTAGCCCAGGATCTTAATAGACCAGAAATTTTGTCTAGATCATGTTGTCATTCTTTTTTTGTCGACTCATCATTGTTGTTTTTTATAATTGTCCAACGTCATTTTTCATAGGGACACACAATAATTATGAATTGATTTGGCTCTGATACCATGTTAATATAACACTATATTACAGTAGCATGAGAGCCCAAAGATAATCATGGCTATACTGGGAAAC